CCTCCAGACGCCCACCCCCGGCCCCGATTGCCAGGCGCGAAGCGGCTGCTCAGTGCTTGCCCTCCCCCTCGCCACACACACACATTTTCTTCTTTCTCTGAACTGGAGCACAGATCCGGGAGGGAGGCGGCGGCGGCAGGAGGGGGTAAGAGGGAGGTAGGGAATGGACGCGGGAGGAGGGGAGCCAGGAGGCGGTGCCGCCTGGCCCCTCCTGGAAGGCTTCCCTGGGCTCGCTGCCGAAGCGGTGCGCCTCCCAGTGCGGCTCTGGCCTCACCCGGGCCGCTCTCCGTGCTGGCCGGCCCCCTCGGGCTCTGCGGGCGCCTCCCGCTTCCGCGCTCTCCGCGGGGCCCGTGGGCACCGCAGTCACAGTCACCCCTGGCGGGGGCCGGGGCGAGCACTGGGTTGCCCTCCCTCGCTGACGCGCCGCCCAAGCCGGCGGCAGCTGCTGCGGGCCCGGGCCGCCGCCAACCTGCCGCTGCCGGACCCGCCGCCCGGGCGTGGTAAAGGAGGAATATGGCGGCCTCTGCTTGCCTTCCAGCCCACCAGCTGGGGATCGCGATTTCGGCTCCTGCTGGAAGTCTCAGGATTCAGACCCACAAACCCACCGAACAGCCTGGCGCCGCGCATACCCTGCGGGGCTCTGCATTGGCGCTCGCGCCCCCAGTTCCTGGCAGCACCTTTCTGCCCCGCCGGGCCACTCTAAGCCCACATAGGAAGTCTTTCCCTTTCTTATTTCTAAAACGCCATTGGGTTAGAAAGTATCTCGCGACGCCGATGACCCCAGTTCAGTCCTAGAAAATAAGGGCTTCTGAGTTGTAGGCTGGGACTGGAGAAAAGAAGAAACTGTCGCTGGTTCTTGGTGAGGTCAGGAAGAAGATGAGTAGGCGAAACCGTCCACAAAGTTACTTGAAATGGAAATCTAAATCCTGAGCAGAAAAATGAAGTTGTCCAAGTTTCCAAGAGCATCCTGATGGGGTCCAACTTTTCATACCATTGAGGTTCGTTTGGTTTTGTTTTTTACAAGGTCGTCTCTTATTTTTGTGAGGGCACATGATGTTTAACAGCCAAGAAATCAAACGTTTTCCTAGACAGATTCAGTTATGGATGACATGGGAAAAGGCAAAATAAAGTGGGATAAATGGAAAGGGAAAAAGAAGTTATAAAAGTGAGAAAACAAGCTTGTCCCAGCAAAGTCCTATTCTAGTTTATTTTGTTTTTCCACTTTTGATTGAGTCTGTGTACTTAAAAATGTTGCTCACATGTGATAAATGGCAAAAATAAAATAAAAACTTCCCCACCAATTGAAGATTTAGTTGGTTTAGTAGCTACAAGAGATGAAACCCACATTGCTTCCTGCTCTAGAAGAACCTGACCTTTATATTTTATTAAGAGAATCTCTCTTTCACATTTTATGTTTTCTCTGCGATGTCTCTGGTGCAACCTGATGATCCAGAATATAAGGTCACAACTGTATTATTGCTGCGGGTCAATGAACATAGGGTTCTTGAATGACAGCTGTGTGACTTCCTTCTTTCCTTTGTCATTACCCCCACACACCCCACATCTCACACATATACACAAACACTGTAAGCCAGGAGTTGGATCAAACAAGTCATCAGGCTATAAGATCTGCTATTTTAGTTTCCTTTTGAAAAGAATATCCAGCTCAGAAAATGATTAAATTTTATCTTGACCAGGAGAGCAGAGCAGGCAAACCTCACCCCTGTTACGCAAAAGCCTACAAAAAGCCAGTAGACATGCTGCCAGATTAAAATTTTATATTTAGTGTCTAATGAAATTAAAGATTGAGATTCAATATGCAGAGATTTAGAATGGCTTCAGGGAAAAAACTTAATGATGAGTTTGCATTCTCTGATGTATGTATATACTTGAGTCTCAGAGAGACACTAAACAACAGAAAATCAAATGACAGCAAGCTTCAAGTCTCTGGTGTCCTAGCCAAGGATTCACTGAGTCTTTGGAAAATGTCTCTCAGCTTGTGCCATCAAGCTATCAAATAATCCATTTTAACTGAATTGACCTGTTATTTGATAAAAGAAATTGAACTGTTTAATAGACTGTTTGTTGTTGTTAGTTGCTGTCCAGTGAATTCCAACTCATAGTGACTCCATATGTGCCGAGTAGAACTACTTCATAGAGCTCTCAAGGCATCTTTGGGTGAAATTGAACCTTGCAGCACATTGAACATCTGTTTTGTCACTCTTGTATCCCCAGTATCAGTGACACTCCCTGCCACTTAATATACTTGAACAGATACAACAAATCAACAGGAAGATGTTTCTACAAGTAGTGGAAAATAATCAGGAAACCAACACACTAATAAAGCCCTATGTAGGTGGCAAGAAGGAAACAAGAAAAGAATATTCCAAGTCTGAACCCAGACCTATCCAGAAACCTTTACATAATGTATCTGAAAAGCATTTATTAAATAAATATTCATACAACATAATTCAAACAAAAAATCCTTGTAGGAACTACTAAAGTTGTTGGCCATGTTCTAGAAGCATATACTCTAAAATATGCAGTGAAACAGGGATCATGTTACAAAATCCCCATTCACCAAATCAAGAAACATGTATTCATTGCTCACTATTTATAAATAACAAAGATGAAGGTGCAGGAAGAGAGAGCTATTAAGGTGAATAGAACATGGTCTTGCCCTCAAGAGGGTCATAGTCTTAAAACATAATGAGGTTGTGAACAGGTATTAAAAAAAAAAAAAAGTGAAATTAACTTTATTAAAGTAGGGGTAGAAGTAGCAATGTAAATGCATTAAAAAGAAGCTTCATTCTGTTAGAACTGCGGAAAACTTCATATGGAAGGTGGAGAATGAATAGATTTTCAATAAATAAGCATCTATACCATGTAAAAGTAAAGCAGCAATTCCAAATCATCCCACACAGATACTGAGATGTTAAACCATTTTGATAATTCAAGGGCAAGTACTAGATAGCCAAATCACAAAACCCAAAACTCTTTAAACTTCAGAGAAAATGGGAAGACTGTCACATCTTTGGTATCCTGAGGTAGATATCTATCCCCACAGTCATTCACCTGTCCTTTGGTTATTGGGGGAAAAAACAAAACAGTAAAAGTCGTAGTTCAATAGTGAGGAGTGATCTTAGAGTAAAAGAGTGAAAAAGCTGAGTTCTTGCAAACAGAGCTCCTGGCAAAGGAAAAGCTTATTAATCTGTGACTCTCAGGCAATACACAGCACCTCCCCTGTTGTTCTCACAATCATGTATCATAGATACCTCATAGCCTGCACCATGTCTCTGTGATTGTGTAGTTAATCTCCCTCGCTCTCCCAGGAGTCCCTAGGTGGCACAAACAATTAAATGCTGGACTACTAACTAAAAAGTTGGTCACTCAAACTCACCCAGAGGCACCTGGAAAGACAGGCCTGGTCTGCTTCCAAAAGGCCACAGCCTTAAACAGCCTGTAGAGCTGTCCTACTTTGAAACACATGGAGTTACCATGAGTGGGAATCAGGTCATTGGCAATCAACAACAACAAATCTCTGTCCCATTACATTAGGAGCTGCTCGAGTGCAGAGACCATGTCTCCCATAACTGCAGTCAGTGCCCAACCCAGAACAGATCCTCAGTAAGTGATGAATACACAACCTACATCAATGACATACACACTAACACAATACCTGTCCCAGTGAGGGCTTTATGCCAAGTGCCAGAGGCATACAAAGCCTTTAAAGGCCTTATAATCTATTTAGGCAGGCGATCACATGCGTTAAAGAATAAACAACAAAACAAGGTGGGGAGCACTGACTGCTAACCCATAGATTAGGGAATGGACTGCTAAAGGAGTTCCAAGAAGGAGGAGTTATCTAAGCCACCATTCAAAGCAACCTAAAGGAGTATGTGTAGGCACACGATGGTCACTCCAAAGACCAATTAGAAATCAGTCTGAATTATTGCAGATCCTACAAGAGCTGGGAAAGAGCTGCACTGTGCAGAGCTTGCTGGCACAACTGTCTGGCCCACTAATAAAGTTGCCTTGCTTGTGAGGAAGCAAGTGAAGCAGGCCCAGGGAGACTCGGGGGACTGCAAATGGCGCCATCTAGAGGAAAGATTGTATAACGGCCAAAAGATCAAAGAAAGATCGTTGAAAAAAGGCTTTTGTTTCTGGCGGAGAAAAAGTACACATTGCAAAAGCACTAAACAGACATTCTGGATGAACCACAGTACTTCAATTACATCTTTCCTTTATCGCCCTCAGAAAATGCATCCGAATCTAACAAATGTTTATATTTTATGCTTACCCAAGGTTAACACTATCACAGGAAGCACTGAACATCACAGGCTAAAGGTCATCACAATCCCATTGGATGGAAGATCCTAAAAGGCTGGCCATGTCAGAACTATTTTTTTTTTTTTTTATTAGGATTTGGGTGAAGATTTACA